CAGTTTTTTAAAATAATATACACGTATTACTTTGATTCCCAACATTTTGAGGAGGTAAATAAATATATACTTCAAGACTGTGATAGAGACAGGGAAGGAAGAGATCTGGGTTCTGTGAGAAACTGTGAAAAGGGAGCCCCGAGTGAAGAGGAGGCCTCTCTGACATTTAAACTGAAAAGTGAGGAGGCCAAGGGGGGCAGTGCCTGAAGGCCCTGGGAGGAGAGGTGATGGGGGGAGGGAGAGAGGAAGGGAGGGAAGGAGAGAGAGAATTGGCTCATGGGAGGAGTGGGGCCAGGCGAGGTGGCTGGAGCCTTGCAGGCAGGGCCCTGCAGATCTCTAAGTGCAGTGAGAAGCCCCTGAAAGGCTAAAGCAAACTGATATCCATCTTTAGAAGATCGTTCTGGCTGCTGTGTAGAGAGTGGACTGGAGGGAGCAAGAGCAGAATCGGGGAGCCAAGTTAGGAAGTGGGCAGTTCTCCAGGGAGAAGAGATGGGTGTGCTTAAAGGTAAGCGGCCGGAGCAGAGAGAAGTCGTCACATTCAGAATACCTGGGAGACAGGACAGGTAGCTCTGCATGCTGGGCTGCAGGTGGGGAGGGAGAGGATCCTGTCCAGGAAGACTCCTGGGTTTCGGGCATGAGGAGCTCCTGACAGTGGGAGAGGACAGGCGGTGGGTGAGGAAGAGCAAGGCAACCTTGATTTGGGGCGTGTGAGGGTGGAGTGCCCGAAGCCCCTCCAGATAAAGGCATCCTGCAGGGGTTTGCAGGTATGGGCTGAAGTTGAGGACACAGCCTGCATGCTTTGCTCAAGCCCCATCCCGTGTCTCCTCACTGGCCTCACAGAAAGGAGGCTGCTGTTGGCCTGGGAGGGACCTTGGTGCCTAAGGAGGCGGCTATCAGCTAGCTCGTGACACTGGAGACCTTGTGTCACTAAGCCCTCTCCCCAGCCTGGTTCTTGGTGCTGGTCAGCACTTACCCCACCTCGGGGATTCTCAGGAAGCTATCTTTCCTCCTCTGCTCCTGTCTACTGCCCATGGCAAATTCACTGGCCTGGGAGCCGGAGCTTGGAGAGAAGTGGCCAGAGAGGGTCCACTGCTTCCTCAGGCCACTGCTGATGTCCCATAGGTCCTGGGCCCTTGCTTCTCCCAGGACCCCTGTCTGCTGACCACAAGGGGACTATCGTGTGCAAAACCCACACCTTGTTTGTTTTCCTCTCCGCCAAAATGGAGCCCCTGTTTGGTTAATTTCTATTTTGTGGCTTATTTGGAGGCTGTTAAAACAGACCCTGGGGGACCCTCAGCGGTGATTGTTCCATATCTCATTATCTTTCCCGAACCCGATTATTAGCTCAGATTTTTCTGATCGCTAGCTGCTGTTGGTGATGAGCTGTGTGCCATTAATACCAGCTGGCTCCCTTAAACAGGACCCACCGTGCCAGGGAAAACGAGCTGGCATTCAGAGCCACCAGCCACTTGGCTTTTTAATTTTAATGGGCTCCACCAAATGTTCCAGGCCAAAGGGCCCCTGAGGAATCAGCACAGACGGGCTCCCAACCCCGCTCTGCCGCCTAGCCCGGTGCCTTCCCAGGCTGCGGCTGTCCTAGCTGCTGGGACAGGAAGGCCCAAGTTGGGGGCTGTGGCAGGAGTGGGGGAAGTGGCCATTTGCCTCCCTTGTATTTGCACCTTCCTGCTCTCCGGCTCATCATCAGTTGGGTGGGCAGGGTGACCTCACCAGCTCCTAGTTTCCCCACTTTGCTTGTCCCCGGCCCCTTCTCTGGCTCAGGCACGCTGGCCATGCTCAGGAATGAGCATGTTGGGAGGACCCCAGTGGGCTTCAGGGAAGGGTGGGCCAGAAGAGATCTGGGACCCTGGCATTGTTTTCTCTTCTTTCCTCCCCCCTACCATGGCCTCTCACCCAGAGTTGGGGAGACAGGCTGGGACACTCACTCTGGACTGTGCTAGTTCTAGCCAGAGGGAAGAACAGCCAGGCAGGGAGGCTTGAGGACAAGTCTGAGTATTTGCTACAACCAGTGGCCACTATTCCTCATCCTTCCATTACACTCCAGCCCTGCTTGTCCCCAAGAAGCTGCCAGGGGAAAGTCCCACCTGCCTGCTGGCCTCCTGGAGGGCTCCTGCTTTTTCTAAAAGAATGTAGGGGGTGGGGCTGGGGTTTGAACCCAGATCTTTTGTTTTATAGCTGGGGTGGGATGCAGGCAGGGCTGGATCAAGGCCCTATCTTCCCTGACTGGGACTGCCTTCCATTCATCTGGATGGCAGCCTCAAGCTGGTCTTTTCAGGGCAGCTTTGCTATGCAAACAGCCAGTTTTAAATGGCACATTAGACATTAAAGCATCCCTCATTGAGATGGAAGACACTTGGAAAGTAAATAGCAACAGTTAAGAGCAAACCTTTGGAATTAGCAGACCCCTGGGTTCAAATCCTAACTTTACATGCCTCATAATAGCTGTGTGTCCTTAGGTAAAGTTCCTTAACTTCTCTGAACCTGTCTGAACTTCTTTGAATCTGTAAAAAAGAGCAACATGCCCTATCTAGAAATCTTGTAGTAGTGGGGATTTAATTCAGACATTTAATGTGACATGCTCAGCTCATGGCCTGGCACCTCCCCGTGCCCCTTTCCTCCTCTTCTCCCACCACCAACACCTGCCTGTGTGTCCTCTTGCCTCTCTCTGTACCTCCCCTCTCTGCACTCTGTAGGAACATGTGCCCTGGCATCTGGGGGAGGCGGTCACAGAAATAGGCAGTCACTGGCTGCCGAGAGCTGGGGAGCTCGGGACTCGATGAGCTCCATCTGCGAGGCAGGGCAGCCTGGAAGTAGGGCAGCAGGACCTAGTGTGGGCTGGCAGCTCCCCGGCCTGCCCTGCAGTCCCAGTGAAGTGTGTCCAAGCCGCCACACATGTCCCTGCCTCCCAGCATTCCCTGGAGCAAGCAGAAAGAACAAGAATTGGACTCTAAGGATCGGCTTGAGGCTTCCGATCTAGACCAGACCCCCAAGAGCCCAAGCTGGGTTTGCCTGGCCACACTGTGGCTCCGTGGGGCCCTGGGCTGCCCAGGGCCTGACAGGGTGGCACTTCCTGTCTGCCCAGGTCGCAGCACCATTCTTGCTTTGACTGCTGCAGTCGCTCTGACACCCCAGAGGCCTTCCCCAGGCTCTGCATCTTCTCCAGCGACCCGGAAGGTCAAGGCCAGAGGCGGGGCTGCAGGTGCAGGGTGGCCTGCTAGCTACCAGGTGAGCCAGAGCCGAGAGCAGGCTGCCCCAGGCCCCCGTAGGCCAGCAGTCCTGCAGTGGCCCCTGCTGCCCCTCCTCCCAGGAAAGATCCACGGGGCAGGGGCTGGCTGTGGCCTCCGTTTCGGGGAGCAGTGGCCTCTCTACACCCGTTTCCGGTCTGGCCACATGCAGTCTCGCCTTTTCTCTCTCTATGCTTGTGCTGTGTTCCCCGCCACAATTCTCTTTCTTCTGCTCTGCCTAACCCCACCTTTCCCTCCTCCAAGAAACTCCCTTCCCAGCCATTGCAGATCTCCATCCATTCATCTGTTGGTCCATGCACGGATTCCTCAGTTTATTGAGCAAGCACTACATGCCATCCACTGTCCTGAGTGCCAGTCATACAAAGAGGAGAAAGGCATGGTCCCACTTCCCAGTCCCGCAGGGGCATCAGATCATGAGCAGGGAACTGAGTGCTGGGGAGGAGGGACTGGGGACGTGTGAGGAAGCAGCCTCCTGCCTGGGAGAGGCGACATTCTTACATAGCTTCGTTTACTGAGGTCTCTTATGCCCCAAGCTCATGCTAAACACTTTACATGCATTCTTTTTTTTTTTTTTTTAAAGATTTTATTTATTTTTTTTGACAGAGAGAGACACAGCGAGAGAGGGAACACAAGCAGGGGGAGTGGGAGAGGGAGAGAGAAGCAGGCTTCCCGCGGAGCACGGAGCCGAATGTGGGACTCGATTCCAGGACCCTGGGATCATGACCTGAGCCGAAGGCAGACGCTTAACGACTGAGCCACCCAGGCGCCCCCACTTTACATACATTCTTATAGCAGCCCTGGGATGCTGTAGATATTACCATCCCTTTTTACAGATAAGGAAACTGAGGCAGGGCAAGGTTCAGTGACTCCCACTGTTAGAAAGTCACTGGAGGGAGAGCTCAGAGGTGGGCCTTACAGAACAGATGTGGACTGGGTAGAGAAGGAAGGCATTCGGGGCATTGGGACCAGCATGGACAAAGGCCCCAAGGCGGGAAAGCTCCCATAGCATCTGGTGAGCAGTCAGCTGGATTCCTGGAAGGAGAAGGTAGGGTGTTAGGGGAGTAGGGGAGCCGCGTGAAGGAGATTGCACCTTTTCACACAAGTCATGGGAGGAACTGGTCGTGGTAGACGTGGTTGGACCTGTGTTCTAGAAGGACAAAAGACAGCATGGGAGACAGAATGGAGTAGGGAGTGCCCAAGGTGAAGGCAAGGGGGACCCCAGTGTCCCAGGCCAAGTGAGGGGGTCTGGAGTCTAAGAGAAGAGGACATGAGCCCAGGATGTGCACTGCAGCCCTGGCTAAGCTCTGCATAGCTCGGTGGTCACCTGTGGGCAGGCGTGTGGATCTCCTTCTCCTGAGCCCTGGTGGTTAGGCCTGTGCCTGAGCCCACAGTGGGGCCCGAGAAAGGGGGTGCTTAGAGGCTGAGGTGGGAGTGAGGGTTCCCGTGCTTCATTTACTTGCCGATTCTGTGTTCTAACGGCGGCCTTTCCTTTCTCCTCAGAGAGGTTGTGTGCGTGTGTGCGTGTGTGTGTGTGGCTGAAGCTTTCCCCTCCGCCTCCCTCCCGGGCTGGCTAACTGGGGTGACTGGGCTGTGTGATGCTGTGCATAGTGGCACTGGAATAGGCGACGCTGAGGATTTGGGGTCCGGGGCAGATGGTGCCGCTTGCTCTCTGCTCCTGCCCCAGCCTGCCAGGCCCCTGCAGCACCACGCATGCACGTTCTCTTCTCTCTTCCTAAGGTGGGCCTTAATGTCCTGGTTCAGAAAGCCAACAAGTTCACCCCGGCCACCCGCCTTCTTGTCCAGAGATTTGTGCCGTTCCCCGCTGTAGGTAAGACCTGCACCTGCGCCGAGGTGCCCGCACGCGTGGACAGGCATGTGAGTGTCACACCTGCGTGTGCGGGGTTGCAGGGCTCTTGGGGAGCTGGACTGCCTTTCCAGACCGCTTCTGACATCGGGGGTCTCCTGGTGTGGGCGACTAAAGCAAAACATGGGTGGACAGAAGTAAGGGTGTCGGGGGCCCCCGCTGACAAGCCCTGTGACCGAGATCCTGCTTTTAGCACCGGGATTAGCCCCCGGCCACCCAAAGGCTAGTAGATAGAATGCGGTGGATCCTATGAACTTGGCTGGGGAAAATGTCTACACTAGCCTCTACCTGGAATTTAACATATCCTTCCATTGTGAAGGTAGGCAGCAAGCCACAGTAACAAGCAAGAACCATGGCTTTTTCACCCGTAGAAATCATAGATATTTTCACATCTCATTACAGTTGTTACAGGGATTCTAAAATATTGTTTGTGTGTAACACTAACTCAAAATTAGGATATTTATTCAATCCACTGGTAGGTCTTGTTTTTTAATGCATTACTTAAAGAGCACACCTGTTACTATACCACAATGAAAAAATATTTTCATCATGTATTCCTATATAATCCCTTTATAATCCTGTATGTTTTGTTTCACCCATTTGGGGACATTATTTGGAGGGGGGCTCATAGGCATCTCCTGGCCTGTGACCATCACAGGGATTCCTGGCGCAAAAGAAGGACCAAAGCTCCTTCTAGTCTAGTGTTCCGAGCCCTTGGGTATTGTGGACCATTGAGGCTCTGGAGGCCTCCATTCATAGTCAGGTAATTGTGGTGCATGCGTGTGTGTGGAGGGGATTTCGCTGCCTTCAGCCGAGACTGCTGGTCTTGGAGCTTCTGAGCCATCCCATCAAGCCCAGCCCGGCTCTTGAGAACCCCCCTGCCTTGCTTGGGGAGAGGGCGCTGCAGTAAAAGTTTTTAAAAACTGAAAAAGAAACAACATTGACAGAAGCATGAGGCAGTACATGATTGGTCATCAAAAGAGAAGTATACACTTGAACCATGACACCAAGCTCCCCATTTGATGCCAGAGGACAAAGATGGGGGCCAGCCCAGGAGCGGTATGAGGTCATGTGACCTCCTGGGTGCGAAGGCTAGTCTGAAGAGCCAGAGTCAGATTCAGGTTCCTGGTCTCAATCTCGTGCTTCACCTTCAGGGCTCAACTTCCCCACCTGTAAAATGGGAGCTCGGGTACCTACCTTCCTACAACCCAGAGCCGTGGGAGGATCAAACGAGACCACAGACCGGATTCCATTCGTAGGATAGTGCTTGGGAGCACCTGCAAAGCCCCTGTGAGAAGGTGGGAGATCATTACCTGGCAGTCCCACCTCCTTAATGGCCAGAGGCTAATGAACTCGCAGGACCAGCTGCCCGGGTGAGCCCCAGCTGACCCAGATAATTGCTATAGCAACTCCACACTTTTAATGAACTCTCAGCTATTTCTGGCATGGGCCACTAATGGAATAACTCTTTAGATCTGACTTTGTTAAGGGGTGTAATTGAGCGAACAAGCCTGCCGATCTTGCGTTCCTCACTCTCCTGGGCTGGAGGGTCAGTTGCAGCCTCAGAAGGTGGCAGCTCTTAGCTGCACTGGACTGGATCTGGGACTCGGCCGAGATGTAATCTGTCCTTGAGACAAGCTGTGCAGACAAGGACTTTGCCAGGGGTCCATTCTAGCCTTGCTCTGCTGGCCGTCTTGCTGTATGACCTTGGGGCTGGTCTTAACCTCTGGAGCTCCTTCAGGAGGAAAGACCCCGCTTTCAGGTTTGACCCTGTCTGCCATCCCCACCTGAGACTTTCTGACCTGTCCGTCTTTGGGCTCCAGCCTGATTCTCCTCCTGTCTTATCCGAGAGGAACCTGCAGGTCCAGCCACTGTTGAGGGGTCTTGAGATCCCACATATCGCTAGCCAGTCGCACAGGTTGTACACAGTGTGGTTTGCAGTCCTGATAGTCCTAGTTTGCCAGGATCCTAAGAGCAGCAGATCCTCTCTGGCTACTTCCTCAGGCCTGCTGCCCGAGTCCTGGCTGTGTGCCTGTCTCCCTTCCACCCCTAGCCCGGGTCTCTCCTCGCCCACATGGAGGCTTCTACCTCCCTGGCCCCCGATGTCCTCCCAGGCCCATCTGCAAATGGCACCTGCTGACTCCCCTGGTAGACGCCAACACAGTGGTGTGCAGGATGAACAAGCATGCCCCCCACCTGCTTTGGGGCCCCTTGTTCTCTCAGGCTGTCATATAGCCCCTGGACTTGGCTACCCTTCACCTTATTCTCAGGCTTAGACAGCTTCTCTAGGCCTCACTGCATGCTGGCAGGGCCTCGGTCCCTCCAGGCATTCACCCTGCTTTCCACGGCAGGCTAGACCAGGCCAGGCCACGCCACGCCAACCTCAAGGCCACCAAGAAGCTTGCCCAGGACTTGCTCTGGCTGGTGGAGGGTCTGTTGTCCCTTCAGACCCCTGGCATGATGGGGAGACAGGACTCACGGAGCCATGCATGCTCACAGGAAGTAGATTGAAGTGATAGGATTAAGCCCTAATTGTTGGGATGTGGGGGGAGGGCTTGGGGTGGGGGGTGAGTGTAGAGCAGAAGGGGATCTTTGTTAGGGAAGGGCCCTGAAAGGGCCTCCCCATTCCCTCCCTCCTGGCCAGGCTGGGAACTCAGGTTCAGGGAAGGAGGAGGCTCCCAGGGTCTGTTGCTTCTTCCCTCTGCCCTGCCCAGCGAGTTCTGCCCTGGTCCAGCCTACAGTCTGGGAGGTAGGAGGACACCTCCCTTCACTGGGCCCCACATGCTGCCCAAGAGAGAGACCTGAGACTCTGGGCACTGGACACCTCGTTCCCCCACCTGACTCCACTGCCTTTACCCCCTCTCTGGCCTTGGACCAGACCCCACTTCAGCCCCTCCCCACTGGGATGTCTGTGACAGACTGCAGGCCTCCCCTGGGTCTGCAGGGGCCCCACCACTCTCCATATTTTCCCCAGCAGGCCTTCGTTCCCCCTCATTCCCTACATTGTCTCTCTGGGACAACCCAAGGCAGGGCGGCGAGCCATCCCCATTTTATAGAATAAACATATTCAGACTCTCTGAAAGTTATCCTGCATTGGCTACAGCCCAGGCCTCAAAGGCCCAGCCCAGGCTCCTTCCAGCCCACGTGAATAACCCCTCACCCACGTAGCTGAGAAACTGAGGGATGTGGTCCAGAGGTGCCCCACCAGGGGCACCCCACCTCCAGGCTGCCCCTGGTTTTTCAGCCAGGGTTGTATGTATGTGCATGCACGCACGTGTGCTGAGTACTGAGAAGCCCTGAGGACGCTCACTGAGCCCTTCTGTCCCTCATGGTGGTTTCAGAGCCTTGCTGTGCCCTGGTCCAGAGCAGCAATCATGTGGGAAATCTCGGTTTCTATTTATACATGGATGTTAGGAAAGATGGTGAGCCCAGGAGCATGTGTGCTGGCATCGGAATCGATTGGGGACTGGTAATTAATTTGTTTAGACCTTAATTAATTCTCCAGTTCTTTCTTATTTGTGGACTGTCACGCTTAATTGTGTTCAGGGGCTTGAGCTCAGAGAAGGCCCTCCATTAATTGATGGTTGCTGTGAGGTGGGAGTTAATGGTTTGGGGAGCTGGGCAAACAGTGTAATGAAAGGTCAGTCGAGGAGGCATTGGAAAAACAACCCCCCCCCCCCAGGTCCACCTGCCAGTCTCCACGAGCAGAGTCCATTCCGGGAGAGTCAGGCCCCGCAAACAGCCTTCTCGTGAGGCCTTGGGCTGGGAGCTGGCAGGAGTGAGCAGTGGGAGGAATGCGGGGTCGCAGGTGCCATGAGGGGGCACTGGTGAGAGGGAGAGGCATGCATGGGGCAGGGCCTTTAGCCAGGGGCCCAGAGGTGGGGATCCCCAGGTGTCCCCAGGCCAGCACATCTCTGTACCAGGCTCTGCGTATGTGTGTGCAGGGGTGAGGGAAGGAAGGAAGCCCTGAAGGTCACCCCCACCCACCGGCTGCCTGGCGCATCCATACCGAGCAGGGGACAGGCTATATCGGGTGCTAAGAAAGACCCCCATGTGGGCTTTGAGCTCCCTCAGGGGAGGCCTGAGCCTCAGCCCCAGCCAGCCGGCTCCCTGCGCAGGGACTAACCTTCCTGAATGGGCCAAAATGCCAGCCTCATCTTCCCTTTGCTGGGAAATGACTTCTTCCTGCGCTGTCCTCAGCAGGCCCTTACGTTAAATGTCACCGCTTATTTCATCACCAGGAAAAAAATCTCTGCATTCACCAGGGGGTCTGCTCCTCGGGATGTCTGGGCAGTCTTTGGGAGAAGACTGTCCACACATCTGACCCACCGCATCTGCTTGCTCCCTTCACCCTCAGGCCGCAGGGGTTGCCATTGATTTCCCCTTCCCGGCTCCCCGCTTGGTGTTCAAGCCGCCTGGCTTGCCTTGTCTGGGAGGTGGCCACGGCTGTGTGCCCAAGCCCCAAGGGTTAGTCCTGACCCCCTCCATCCCTCATCCCCTGTGGTTAGAGGACAGCAGCGTGCACCCGTATCAGCTGGGCCTCATGACGTGCGTCCCTTCCATCCAGGTCAGTGATAATGTGGCGTCCACAGCCCTGAGGCTCCTCGGGTCCTTTCCTTGACCTGGCCCCTGCTCATACTCCTTTGGAGCTGTGGTGAATCTTCGACCTCCCGTCTGCCTTTCTCAGGGGCCCCAGGCCTTTGCACACGTGCCCTGTTTGTCTGGAATCCCTGCTCTTCCCATTACCTCAGCCCCATCTTCTGCTTTCTCTTGACTGCCTGGCCTTTGTTTCTCAGCTCAGACACCACCTCCTCCAAGAAGCCCTCCCTGGTAGCCCCAGTTAGGGTTAGACCACAGCACCCTGTGTGTGCCTGTGTGTAACCCAGAACTGCCCATTTTGTTCCTGAGTTTGCCTCCTTCATCAGACTGTGAGCTCCCAAGACAGGGACTGGCTCTCATTCATC